GCTTTTTGTTAGTTATTGGAGATAAGAGTCTCTGAAATTCATGTATCTGGGCTAGCTTTGAACCATGACCCTCAGATTTCAACCTCCTGAATAGCTACAATTATAGGCATACACTACTGGTACCTGGCTTATGTTGGGTATTTTCTAGCCTTTTTCTCTTCAAGCATCTGTCCAGGTACTTTGTTTTGATCCACTTGCCACTTTATTCATAGTTTTGTTCAGCCCTTCTAATCTGCTAAGTAAGCATTGAGTTAGCTCTTCATTTCAGTGATAGTATTCTTTATTTCTGTTTTTGACTGCATCTAAGATTTTCCAACTTATCATATAATAATCAGCTTTGTCCTTTCTGCTGAACTGATTTATTATTGAACTTTAGTAAATTGGTTTTATTTGTGGTACTGGGATTTGAAATCAGTCAGGGCTTAATGCTTACTAGGTAGGTATTTCCAAGTGGAAAATAGCCCCCTGCCCTAGTCCATAAATTTTTAAATGAAATAAAACTACTTAAAGCATTATGCCAAAAATCAAATCTATTTTTCCCTTTCTTATTCTTAGGTCATTGCAATGAAGCAAGTGGCTTTCTGCAATAATAATTCTTATAATGGCCTCAGACATAGTCAAATGAGGAAAGTAGTAAGCAGTCTTACAAAATTATAACAGCTGAAACCTTGATGCTAAACTGTAGTTAAAAGCATATGTGAGATTGGGGATTGGTGGCTTATGCCTGTATTCCTAGCTACTCAGGAGGCTGAGATCTAAGGATTGATTGTGAATAAGGCCAGCCCAGGCAGGAAAGTCCATGAGACTATCATCTCCAATTAACCACCAGAAAACTGGAAGTGGCACTGTGGTTCAAGTGATAGAGCACTAGCCTTGAGCTGAAGAGCTCAGGGACAACACCCAGGCCCAGAGTTCAAATCCCACAGGCAAAAAAAAAAAGCATTTGTGATTAGTACTGTTAACTTACTAAAGTCATCATCAAAAGTAGCTACAACATAAAGCATTGTCTATATATATCTCAAGTCGTTTTCTGTATAGATTCTTTGTGAGCAATCATTATTCTAACTATAGATACTCAACATTCCTTAACAATACTTAAAATTCTGTATTAGCTTTTTCTTTTCTTTTCTTTTTGGTCAGTCGTGGGGCTTGAACTCTGGGCTTGGGCTCTGTCCCTGCACTCTTCAGCTCAAGGTGAGTGCTCTACCGCTTGAGCCACAGGGCCACTTCCGGTTTTCTAGTGGTATATTGGAGATAAGAGTCTCATGGACTTTCCTGCCTGGGCTGGCATTGAACCGCGATCCTCAGATCTCAGCCTGCTTTGTAGCTAGGATTACAGGCGTGAGCCACCGGTGCCCGGCAGTATTAGCTTCTTAAATGCACTATTATACTACTGGGGACACACAGCGCATATAGACAGACCATTTTTGACTATACTATCTATGTTTAGGTTGCTTTTAATGAACAATAAATTCCAATCTGGATGTAGTTGCTCAAGCCTGTAATCTTAAACTACTTAGGAGACAGAGATTGGAGGATCATGGTATCAGGCCTGCATAGGAAAATAGAAGCTCTTGAGAGATCGTCTCAACCATTGGCTGAACTTGGTGGGACTACCTGTTGTTCTCCCAGATCTGGGGAAAGCACCACGGCTGGGCACAATGACACATGCCTATCATTTGCAGTAAAAAAGCACAAGCACAAAAATTTCAGCCCAAGACAGCCCTTGGAATAAGCCAACATGAAAATAACTAATGCAAAAGTGGGCTGGAGATGTGGCTCAAGTGGAATGCCTGCCTAGAAATCACAGGCCCTTAGTTCAATCCCCAGTACCATCAAAATAATTAACTAAATGAATTTGGCAACAGTTTGGATATAAGTGGGCCCAATACCATATTATATTAGTATTTCTCCTTTCTTGAGTATATTGAAATCTTTACTGGCTTTATTTTGTTTTTAGGATCTCACCTTTTCTTTTGCTTTCCCTTCCCTGCAGTATGAAGTTTGAACTTAGGGCTCCACAGTTGCTTGGCTTGCTTGCTCAGCTGTTGCTCTATTGTTAGAGATATGTTTTGAGCCTAGCATGTTGCGGCTTAATTGGAGACAGAGTCTCACAGGCTTTTCTATACAGGCTGGCTTAGAATAGCAGTCTTCCAGGTCTCAGCCTCCTGAGTAACTAGGAGTGAGCCATGGCTCCTTGCTGGGTATAATATTCCTCTATTAGCCTCTTTAGAAGTCATGCCTTTGCTTTGGGGAGACATAGGTACTTGCTTCTTCCCGTGACCATTCTGATGTCCTGAAGCATCCTCTGAAATCTCAAGTCAAGTGTTGTTACCTTAAGGCCGATGTTTGATGACCACAGTTTCTGGATTTCTTGGGATCTCTTTGTTTCTTTTTTTTTCCTTCTCAGTATGAGAAATACTTTTTTTCATTTTTTTGGTCGGTCGTGGGGCTTGAACTCTAGGCTTGGGCGCTGTCCCTGCACTCTTCAGCTCAAGGCAAGTGCTCTACTGCTTGAGCCACAGCGTCACTTCTGGTTTTCAAGTGGTTTATTGGAGATAAGAGTCTCACAGACTTTCCTGCCCAGGATGGCTTTGAACTGCGATCCTCAGATCTCAGCCTCCTGAGTAGCTAGGATTACAGGCATGAGCCACTGCCGCGCCCAGCTGAGAAATACTTTTTTTTTCTATTTTTTTATTGTGAAAATACTGTACAGAGGGGTTACAATTACATGAGCAAGATAATAAGTACATTTCTTATCAATCATTGTAGACTCCTCCTTTGTTTCCCTTTCCCATCTCATCCTTCCCCTGCCCCCGGCCCAACCTCCTCCCCCCCCACCAAAGTTGTAAAGTTCGTTTTTGACATAACGACTTGTACGTCTCATTGTTGCAATGGGTCTACCTGTATCCCTATTTAAATGATTTGTTTTTCCCTTCCCCTCCACAAATTATACCAACATCAAATACAGTGAAAGCAGGGGTTATACCGTGGGGGAGGGACATACAAAGCAACAAAGAAGAGAAATATTTTTATGTCAAATATTTTCTATGAAAAAAAATGCAGCTGAGGGTCTGGATGTTGTTCCCTTCAAAGATGATTTATTTTTATCTTTTGCAGAAAATAAGAGTAGAAGCAGATGGCCTTAATGCAATTGGAGGTTGACTGGTACAAAGCTAGATTTCAGGGGGTTTTAAGAGCTGATATATTTTGAGTTTATCTTTAATTCTTCAATTTTATCTTTTCAGATTCCCAAACAAAATTCCAAGGTATTTTCCAGCTTCCTCTTTTTCATGGGCAGCCTAGTTTTCCCTCCAATTCTCAGACTGTCTGTTCAAATCCGTGCTCAAATTGTCTATTTCTGAACCAGCTTTTTGGTTAACCAGTGTCCAAAGAGAACACAAAAGCAACAGTTGGCTTCAACACTTTAGGCTTCTCTTCTTTCTGCAATTTTGGTCCAGTGTTTTCTTTCTTGCTTGCCATCTCCAAACATAATATTTTATTTAGTCTAGCTCTTCTACCTATTCTCAGAGGAGTAGTCTGAAGCAAACAAGCCTACCAATGTAGGAATAGTTGCCATATTTTCAATGTACTTTGTGACATGTGTCTGCTATACTGATAAGAGTGTATTATTTTCAAAAAATACCCAGAACCTATAAATACTAATATTACCTAAGAATACAAATAGAAATAAAATTATCAAAATAGTACCAACACCTCTTAACATTTTCTTTTCCACCGTATTACCAAGATCATATTGTATAGCCAAAATATTTATAGTAAATTACACTTTGAAACCCTATTTTCATTCCATCCAAGCTTGACTTCTCATAGGGGCCTTTTTGATTACTGAGCTTTCTATATTATCACATGTGGAAAAAAATACCTCAGTGCTAATATACAACTTTAGACACTACCAGCGAGCTATCTTTGCACACTACATCAAGACATTTGAATGCCCTGTGGAACATTGGGTATTCACTGTGTTGCTAAACAGAGCATACTGCAAGGTATTTAGTCTCTCTAGACTATTGACCAGAAGCATCATCATGATTTAAAAAAAGAAAAGAAAGAAAAGCTTTCCCCACTAAAAAGAGGGAATGTGAATGTTCTCATCACAAAGAGGTGATGTTTGAGGAGATACAGAGTCTTATTTTACCTTTGTTTGACTATTACACAATATACACATGTGGTGAAACATTAAATAGTACCCCATAAATAGATACAGTTATGTACAATTAAAGATTTTTCCCCCTAGCACTGGAGCTTGAACACACCACCTGGGCAGGAATCCTTAGCTTTTTCACTTGAGGTTGGTGCTCTGCCACTTGAGCCACAGCTTCACTTTGGGGTTTTGGGTGTCTAAATGGACTTTCTTGCCTGATCTGGCAGCCAATCCAACTGTGACCCTCAGATTCCAGCCTTGTCAGTAGCTCTGATCACAAGCATGAGCCACCAGCGCCCAGATAAACATAAAAACATTTTTGAAGGCAAAAATATACATCCACAAGTTACCACAAAATATCTTTTATGAAAGGATTCAGTTATCACCTTTTGGACAACTTCTGTTAAATCTATAAAATCATCACTAAAGACAGTATTAACTCAGGATAGTGCCATTCCCAGAGTGATCGTTAAGAATAGACAGTACAGGTCAGTTACAGTATGTCTTTTTAACCTTTCATACCTGGACAATTTCTAAAACCATATTCAAACCTAATGCAGACACTGCATGGTTTTGACTTTATCTCCTAGTCCTCTCAGATTCTTTATAAACAGGAATGACTATATCCAATTTAGAGACGAGGAAACAGACTTAAAATTAAAGGATTGTCAATTTTTTTTTAATATTAATCGAGATGCACTGTACTAAAAAAGCTGACATGTTAAGCTGGGCACAGTGGGTCACACTTGTAATTCTTGTTACTCGGAGGCTGAGGTCTATAGGTCACAGTTCAAGGTCAGCCCGGGCAGAAAAGTCTACAAACATCTTACCTCCAATGACTCACCAAAAAGCAGAATGTAGAGGTATGTATGGCTCAAGTGGTACAGAGCCAGTCCTGAGCAAAAGAAAACTAAGAGATGGTGTCTAGGCCCTCAGTTCAAACCCCAGTACTGGAACCAAAACAAAACAAAATTGATCATGTTGAATCGAAACCCCTTTTTACAACTAAAGATATTTACCAAATATTAAAGCACATCTATGATTCCACTAGACTGGGCCACTCAAAGCCATGTGTCTATTAAAGCTTCAAGCCTGTCCCTGATCCTGTCTCTATCCCTCTAAGATAGTGTGGGGCAACCAGATTGGAAGGGCTTAAGGAAAAAGAAAAATAAAACCACAGGTCACCGAGAGACCTACTAGAGTAGCAGCCCGTCCCACTTCTCCGCTCTGGGTGTTGCCTAGGGTGCTCACCCTTCTATACCAACTTTGCAGCTGTGGTGATGATTGTCTACTTTCACGACACCTCTGCAATCGTGCACAGCTTGGGGACCTTTGCCACCCCCTCACCCGCGCAGCTCCTCCAGCCGCGAATCTAGCAGACCCTCTCACCTGATCTGATCAGCTGACTTCACGGTTGCCTGGGCTGTAGGCTCCCTCCTGCCCGTTCCCACCCGAATAGTAGTATCTGGAAAGAGGCCTACCCCCCTGCTGCGCAGTCGCGTTGGGAGCGGTCCCTCTAGCTTAGTGGCCCGCCTCCGTTTCCATGGCAACGCAGTACACATTGAGAGACTGAGCACGCTGGAGATGTGCTTAAGCAGATCCAGATATGCGGAAGGTAGATCCGAGAGCAAGAGAACATGGAGAAGCCAAGAAAGGTTAAGTGGGAGGAAGGTCAGTTCCCTCTCTCCACCGAGCTGTGTTTGGTTTTTGTAAGAGCCTGGTCCTCTCGACCTTTCCCTCCTTCCACTAGGCTGTCAGTAGGCTGCCACAGAGCAAGGAGCCTTCCCTCACCTGGAGTTTCGCCTCTTTGTTGATCTTTAGGTTTGCCTGATAACTACTTCTTTGGAACATGTCAATCAAGGAAGCTCTTTCCTTACTACCATCCCCCAAACAGATTGGGGAACAAGTTTCTCCCTATTAGGGGGGCGCCCCACCGTGGGCCTGGACGGTACACAGACACAGATGTGAGTATTTGCCTGCCTTTAGGTGGGTCTCGGTTCCCTGGCTATGGAAGGATAAACTTTAAGGTATCTTATACCAGTTTCTCTCCCTTTAGTTCAGTCCTCAGGGTAACTGTTGTATTAAGAGTGAGTTCAGCTCTTGTGGGACTGGAAAGATCCAATCCATCGGAATTCAAAAATGTCGTTTATTTGACCTATCCAGCCATATCCCTTGGTAAAAACCATACGTGTTATGTATATAATTGTTTAGATGGTCTTGACCTCAAAGGAGTCAAATCAAGTAAGAAAGAGAAATGTTTTGCAAAGAAGGTTCAGAGAGGAACATTCTAAGTTCACAGCATTTTGAAAGATGTTCTCTGTGTTACTGACATTTCCTTTCTCTCCCATTCCCTCTCCCACTCAAAGTGGAATAGCTTAGCATACAACCTATCTAAGATTCCCACCAGTACAAAAGGATATACTCTCGGAGCCAGAACAGCTGCAAGATTTAAGACAATCAAGGTAATGTGCTGGGGTTGCAGGATGATCTAAGTTGTCCCATCAAACACTTGAGCATTCTCATTGCAAATGTGTGTAAGGATCCTGGAGAGAATAGGAAACAATCCAGTGAAAATAAATGATCCCTAGACAAGGGCTTCAATGCTGAGGTGCCTAGGTTGAAATACTGGAAGGTGTGTGTGTGTGTGTGTGTGTGTGTGTGTGTGATATTTATTAATGTATTATATATAATATTATCTTGCCAGTTAAAAAAAACAGATTCTGAATTTTCCAGCCTTTTGTGGGATTGGGTTCAAATGATGAGGTTATGGACTGTGACAAATGACCTTGGTTTTCTACCCATCCTTGTTTATGCTTATAACCTCTGTATTATTTGTCCTTAGACAATCTACTCCCATATCTTGATTTTTTTGGCATCCAGAAAGGCCTATTTCTATGTCTTAAAATGACTGAAACATAGTTGATTTATAGAAAGAAAAATGACTCTTTTTTTAACCATAAGGAGATAGATGATAGATGCACACACAGATGCATGTGCACACATGCACATAACACACACACACACACACACACACACACGATTCTCTAACACATTGATCTTTTTCTTGGTAACAGGATACAACACCTTACCCAGGCATGTACCAGAAAGTAAACACTGGTGAAAAGAAACTCAAGCAAAATTTTGCTCCATTTAATACCATGATGCCTCAATTTGGGAGCTATTCAAAGGAACCTTCTTATCCTGGGTATGTCTCCTCTTTTCGGGTGCTCTTAAGGGAATATCAAGTAGGAAAAGCAGTCCTTAAATCAGTATTACATCAGTTGAACCATCCCAGTTAAAGAAACAACTTACCTTTAAATGTTGAACCTCTTGCCCTTCAGATCCCTGGCACTATAGAATCTGTTCTTCATGAGATAGCCTGTATTTTGTGCCGGGTAGTTTTATAGGTTCCACATATCTTGCAGTGCACCCATCACACAATGTTCCTGATATTTCTTGGAGCTTACATGTTGGAGTCCACATAGGTAAGAATCAAATACCCGTAATCTTGGTTTTCTAGGTCTAATGTTCAGTATAGTTGGGAAAGAATTGGTAGTGGAGTTAAAAAAAAAGAACTAGAGTATAGTGAACAAGGATATAAAGAGAAAAGAGAATGAGAGGGGTGGTCTAGGGTTTACAAAGGCTTTGTGAGTTAAGAGGCTTATTCTAAATGCTTTAGGAACTCAGAATGTATGAGTAAATGCTCCAGGTGTTTAGTCATGAGAAATCCAAGGATCAAAGAGTAACTTTCCAAGATTGCATTTAGGTTTAGGAATTGAATCTTGATACCCCCCTCCACCCTGCCATGTCTACCCTAATAATCATTTCCACACAATAAAGTCTATATCAAAACGTAAAGTGTTCTGAAAAAATACAACAGTTAAGAAAATGTAATTGATTCTGCTCTGCTGTCCCTAGATTACAAAAAGATTGTCGGTGCATGTTAATCATCAACTTCAAATTGTGGGCAGTACCAGCTCATCACTCACCTTTCCAGGGATCTTCTGTCTCTTAACTAAGGACATTGAGTGGCAGAAATACTTTTATTTTTTGGACTTGGCATTTTATACATATATATTTATTTCCATTTTTATTATTATATCTTTAAGTAGTTGTACAAAGAAGTTTCCATTTTACAAAACAGTATATGAATACAAGGCGTCTGATAACATTGTCACCCATCACTCCTAACCCATCCCTTCTCTCACTTTTTTTAAAAAATTGAGATTAAGTGATTACATAAATTTCACATTTTCACAGTATTGTGGAATAGTGACACTTAGTTAAAGTCACAAAAACATTTTAACCTTCACAAGGTAAATTGTCATTATCATGGTCTATAAAGTTTGTGAATTCTATGAGCTTTGGCAATACAAATTATTTCCTCCACATTGGATGATGATTACATTTCTTTCCTTTTGCTTAGTGTAGGCTGTTCCCTCTTTCCCTCTCATTCCTCCCTTCCCATTGCTGTCTTTGGGTTGCTTAGTTCTTTTTATTCTATGTCCAGTGCAGCTGCAGAAATACTTTTTTTTTTCAGGTCCAGTCATGGGGCCTGAACTCTGGGCCTGGGCGCTGTCCCTCAGCTCTTTAGCTCAAGGCTAGCGCTCTACCACTTGAGCCACAGTGCCACTTCCGGCTTTTTTTTCCTTTTTGCTTATGTGGTGCTGAGGAATCGAACCCAGGGCCTCATGCATGCAAGGCAAGCACTCTACCACTGAGCCACCTTCCCAGCCCCCTGCAGAAATACTTTTTAAGCTTTTTAATCTTTACCCTAACTATGTGTTGGGAGTGACTATCTCTAACACAGATCTCTAATTAGAAATACATTAACAAGTATATGTGCCTGACATCAAGAGGTTAGTCAGTCTATTATCTTTCCCCAAGGAGTTCAGGGATGGATGTGCTACTGATGGAGTTCATGTGTGGTAACTAACTCATTATACATGTTTGTATTTTTATTTCTAGTCCTGGCACATACAACCCAGAGAAAAAGCCACCCTTAAAAGTTACTTGGCCTATGGTATTTGGAGCTCCAGACTGGGATCAGGTTCCTTGTCTAGAGAAAAGAACCCTTAAAACTGAGGTAATAGGATTTGAACTTCTGTGAGCTGCTCTGTCTAGTTATGTCATAAACCAGGTGTCTGTAAAGAATAAAACTTCAGGGAGTTCATGGTTCCCTGAAATTATGTGCACAAGGTTGTGTGTATATAAGAATAAGGAATTTTTTGAGACATACATAACTTCATACAATTTTGAAATGTGTATATATGTATAACCAAAACTCATACTTACATATATGATTTTCAAGTAATCCCTAGGATGACAGATAGGGATAGATACTAGGAATAGCATGATTTGTACAGATTGTACAGCTGGAATCCAGATCTTATGACTCCTAATGAAGTACTTCTTCCAATGTATCACTTGCATGTTACATCATTAGAGAGCTGTAGATAAGAGCACAGTTCTAGGAAAAATATTACCTGGGTTCCAATACTAGCTCTAGTATTGACTTGCTGTATGATGATAAGCAAATCCTTTAATTTTCTAAGCTCTAATTTTCTTATTTATAAAATGAGTATGATAATACAATTGATCTAATGACACAATTAATCTTAAATTTTTTGTTTGTGTGCAGTCCTAGGTCTTGAGCTCAGGGACAGTACACTGTCCCTGAGCTCAAGACCTAGGGCCAGTGTACTGTCCCTAAGCTTTTTACTCAGGGCTATCCCTCTACCACTTGAGCGATAGTTCCACTTCTTTTTGGTGGTTAATTGGAGATAAGAGTCTCACAGACTTTCCTGCCCAGACTGGCTTTGAACTGAGATCTTAGATCTCAGTGTCCTGAATGGCTAGGATTACAGATATGAGACACTGGCACCCTGCTAAATTTAACTATTAAAATAATATAGAAAAGTATTTCACACAGTACCTGATCAAATAACATATCTTTGATTGGTTAGCTACTATAATTTTAGCAGTATTTTCCTAGTGGAATTTAGAATTAACTCCAGAAATATGTGTTAAATGCCTAATGTATTAATACCATTGTGCTCTACCCTGTGATAGTGTTCAAGGATATATAATCCTTCTCTTCAAGGAGCCTATCAAATACTAGAATGTGTACCAAATAGTAAATAATTTGTTGCATGATGTGTACCATAGTAAGATGAAGAGTAGATTTGCACAAATATTGAACCAATAGGGTTAGATTACTATGGAGTTGGGGTTCTGCTGAGCCACATTGCTATAATGCACAGTCAGGAAGACTGCAGACAGAGGCTTAACATTAGAATCTTGATCTAGACAATATTGTTTCATTGCAGCTGTCAACAGACAAAGACTTCAGAGAACATCGGAACCGTGTGGCTTACTTCAGCCTATATTACAATTGAGAAGTAGTCACTACCTTCATGTGCTCTTCTTGACCAGGGGATCTCCAGGACTGAGGAGAGAGGCCTTCTTCTACTTCTTCATTAATGTGGCCCTCTTGTCTGCCAGGGTGGGGCCAAGGGAGAGGAGCAAGGTCTCATACCTACTGTATACAAACATAAAAGACTTGTCAAGTATTATATGCCCATCTGCTGGTTTGTGGTCTGCCGTTGGGTGATTTCATTCTGTGTGAATTATCTGTGCATCTCCTCCCTCTACCTCTAATTCCAGGTGCTGGTACCTATCTCTGGCACTAGATGGCTTTTGGCCTATACATGTCAAGGACTTAAATGGCATTTGGGTTTGTTAGATACAGAGGATAAGTAAACAGCAGGTTAAAATGCATATGTGTTAGGAGCTCTTCCAAGCTTTGGAGTTCCCTGATCAGGAATGTGAAGGCCCTGATTTGGAAATCTTCCCAAATAGCCTCAAAACTTGAAGAACCAAAAAGACACTCTTTCATATTATATAATCTGTTTAGTCAATCAATATAATGATTTGTGCCTCCATTTCAGGAAAGGTGGTAAACACTGGAGATCAACATAATCTCATCTGCTAGCTCCTTTAGTCTGGCCTGAAGTCAGAGAACCTCCCAGGGCAGGTAGTGGATGGTATCTGCCCCTCAATCTGAATGAACACCAAAGCCATAGAAATGAGTGTTATGAGTGTAAGAATTTGAATCCACTGCATTCACATTTCACATATATAGAGATAGTCTGGTCTGGGGGGTCAGGTCCTTTCTTTCCAACATGAGTTAAAGTAAGTCAAGCATAATAATGTAGGATTAGCATTAAGTGAGGCTACCTTTTAGTGGGAAGGTCCTCTAGTGAGCACTTAGGCCTATTAGTAATTGTGAAAGGTGTTAAGTCTGAATGGATAAAGAGTGGGAAATGCCAAGGGCCATAGAAAAGCTCCAGACCATCATAATCCAGAGGACTGCACATGGTAAATGTTTACTTTGAAAGGAACATTCAGAGATAGCCTTTGCATGAGACTTATGGAGCAAACTGATTTTGGGCGGGGTGGGGGGTCCGGTCCTGGGGCCTGAACTCTCGGCCTAGGCACTGTCCCTCAGCTCTTTAGCTCAAGGCTAGCACTCTACCACTTGAGCCACAGCACCACTTCCGGCTTTTTTTTTCTGCTTATATGGTGCTAAGGAATCAAACCCAGGGCCTCATGCATGCAAGGCAAGTGCTCTACCACTGAGCCACCTTCAGCCCATGAACTATTTCTTAAGGGCCATATTGGAAAATGATGAGAAATATTGGAAACCAACTTGGAATATTAAGGTAATAAAGATGCTACTCAAAGCTAAAATTTTGCCCAGTAATATAGGCTTTTTTAAAGCTAATGATTTCATGATTATCTTCCATTGTCATCAAGTGTCTATGACTTGATTGAGCTAATCATAGTGATGCATGCCTGTAATCTCAGCACTTAGAAGATTAAGACAGGCCATGCAACAGTGATACTCACAAGACAATATGTTAAAAATGATCTGTACAACTTGGGGGATGTTGAGGAAAGGGGAAGTGGGAAAAAAATGAGGGGGAGGGTAACAATTTCGACAAGAACTGTACTCACTACCTTATGTAACTGTAACCCCTCTGTACATCACCTTGACAATATTTTTTAAATAAGAAGACTAAGACAGGAAAATTGTATGTTTCAAGCCAGCCTGACTATATGGTGAGTTCAAGAGCAACTAGAGCTATGTAGTATCAACCTTTCTCAAAACCAATATAATTTTTTTTAAGTAAGCTGGGAACTGGTGGTTCAAAGCCAGCTCAAGCAGAAAAGTCAATGAGATTCTTGTCTCTAACCATCAAAAAGACAGATGTGGCACTGTGGCTCAAATAGTAGAGCTCTAGCTTTCAGAAAATTAAAAGCTCAGGCACAATTCCTAGTCCCTAAGTTCAAGCTATAGGACTGACAACAAAAAATATCTAAGAAAAAAATTTTTTTTAAAAATAAGCCAGACACTGGTGGCTCATGCCTGTAATCCTAACTGCCCAGGAGACTGAGATCTGAGCATCATCTCTCTTCAAAGCCAGTTCAGGCTTTGAGACTTATCTCCAATTAACCACTCAAAAACCAGAAGTGGAGCTGTGGCTCAAAGTGGTAGAATGCTAGCCTTGAGCAAGAGAGCTCAGGGACAGTGCCCAGGCCCTGAGTTCAAACCCATAACTGACATAATAATAATAAAGGCTAGCTATTTTTAGGGAAAAATGGGAGATTAGAAGTTTCATCCATGTGACTTTGAGAATAAAAAGGGTCAGAGTAATAAAGGAAGAGACTATGTTCTGAGGTGAGGAAGAACATTTGGAATTAAGAGATAACAGGACAACTTTAAAGAAATAAACAAAAATATGCATAGAAAACTTACGAAACTATCCAAAGCTCTAAGCACTAACCTCAACTCCTGTGAGGAGGGGAAGGTGGTTAAGACCACAATCAAAAGCTCAGCCAGGGGAAAACTGGGCGGCCACATGCAGAAAACTAAAAGTGGACCCCAG